GGTTTATTCTGTTGATTTGCTCATTAGTAGTCACTTAAAACTTGATGACGTGGAATACTTGCGCCTCACCTACTAGTTATAATGGACAATCCAATATTTTAAAGAGAGAGGCCACACGGAAGAGAGTAGTGAAAATTCAGAATGAAGTTACAAAAATAAACACTGTACAACTATCGACTATTTCTGTCCACCAGTCGGACATATTGCTCGTAGGTTTACCCAGACGCGACACACTCTAATAAGAGATAGAAACAGATTACCAAAGTGACTCGAGTCAATCATCAAAGCACGAATTGTGTCTCTCCGACTAAAAGAACTGATCTGAGTGCTTCAGAATTTTTTATTAGGGTACGCATGAAAAAACCAACCTCATGTGAATAGAGTAACTGAATTCGGCAGTCTTGATATTAACCTATTGCAACCTTCTACTTTAAAAGTAGAGAAAACAAACAAGCAAGATCTTGTTCCATTTCATTTGAAACGACTTTTCAATCGGCGCATACATGGTTGGCCATCTTCCAATCAGTTCTAATAGGCGAAACGCCTTTTTCGTTCATTTGCCTGAGAAAGAATGCAGACGATCACGAAAACACCTGAGGAGAGGACACTAGTCACGCACGCGCGAAGTGAATACCTGTGTTTTCATTGTAGCTTAGTGAATCTGTATAAGACCAGAGATCAGACGGTCAGATCGATGCCTATGGGTCAATTTTGGCAGTGAATACGTCTTTGTTGCCGCACACAAGTCCACGAATAATCATTCACTCTTCATTTGTGCGTGAGCACAGATTCACTGAATAAACGCGTGACACGGGCGGTGGATCATACTGCCTCACCAGTCAAGAGCTTTGACAAACAAGGCTGATTTGTTCCCGAAGACAAGACTTCACTGCTTCATCTCTGAAGTGTCCACAGCTATCAGTAAGTGACACTAACAGTAAAGAAAGCTCTTTACAAGGTTGCTGGGAACACTTCGACAGCCCACGACCAGTTTCAATTCTCTTCGGACTCATCAGGTAGGCGGGTCACTTGGGTTTCGTCAACTTGTGCTGGGAACACTTCGACAGCCCACGACCAGTTTCAATTCTCTTCGGACTCATCAGGTAGGCGCGGTCACTGAGTTTCCGTCAACTTGTCATACTTGGACCCAAAACGCACGAAATTCGACATATACACTCAGTTGCTTACCAATTCGGCTTTCTACAGAGACTCACCTGAAACTTAGCTGAATCTGTCGCTCGTGGAAGTATACAGCGACATCTCAAATATCGTACCATCTGAAACTTAAGGCGGCCATTGTGGGGCACATCCAGTCGAAGAATGCCATAAGCGGGAGATTCAGGCGGGTTTCATCTGAGTCTCCAGTAAAAACCACATTAGCATGTAAGTGAGTGTATTCGACCCCAAACTGATTTAATCCACTGTAGTTTGATACCGTAGTTCAGTTTTCTCCACTGACCTTCCCAAACTTGTGTAGGCTCTGCACAGTCACCACGAAGTACCATGCGACTGACACAAGTAAGGTTTAGCAAGTGCGAAACGACTAACTCGTTTGCAGCCATTCTTTGTAAATGACCGCAGTACCAGTCGGCTCAGTCTATTCTGATGTTCTTCAGGTCCAACTGGTGCTAGATATATAAATAGCCATATGCCACTATTCTAAGCCAAACAATGGTGTAATGTTATCTCGTTAGCGATGAAGGACGCCCGGGCTGCTAATGTTTGTCCGAATAGTTCTAGCTATCTCATGTGCTATTTGGTCACCCGGTGACCAAATGTGGAATGAAAAAAACGTTCCTCTCGCAAATGATATTGCACGATGACCTTTGTCCTCTGAAAAGCATCTAACTGCTGTTCGAATTAACCGACCGAATTCGGTCGAGTAAGTCGGTATTCTGGACAATTAGTGAAGTGAGCTCAGAGCAAGATACATGTTACTCGAAATGGGGCACAAAAGGTAAAATTGTATTAGGCTTGTATTCTTGCAATACGCCAGTCCATCATTAAAACCGATGCATCTGTTGTGGTGCTCAAAGTGAAGTATTGTCGAAATTCCCCTTCCGGTTATCTATTGTGAATGTATATATTAACAAATTCGGCTACGTGGATCATCAGGCAGGTAACGAAAACACTGATTGCTAGAAAACATTCCCGCCTAAGCAAAAAACAGGCATAGGTTGACAGAATTTAGTTGATCTTGTGATATTCCCTATTTTGTTTTTAAGATTTGATGTATGTGTTTAGGCAGTTTTCGGTACCAGGTTCACTGTTACAAACTACGGTTAACGTGATAGGTTTCTGGATTTGTGGGGTAGAAATTTGATTATGCCATCTTGTTGTTGACAGCCTTTTGGGTTTTAAGCAGCATCATAGCGTCAATATTTTACAGCAGTTCGACGTTTTGTACTACCTAAAGGTTAGCGAATATACACTCATCTGCAAACTAATTTAGTTCTTTCGAGAGACTCACCTGGAACCCAGCTGAATCTCTCGTTTTCATATGATGTTCTCAGGCAAGTGAATGTGCTGCATGCACCAGGCCGCCTCATGTATCAGTCGCCAGCAGATTTCAAATATCGCGATACATGTATATATTCTATTGTAATGTACTACTCATAAGGTTGGTGAAAATCCATCCACAGCCCACAACCGGTTACGCCTTTCTCCGTCCTCATTAGGGAGGCGCAACCCCCTTTTTTCCCTAAACCACATGTTCTACCTCAAACCAAATTGCACCAAATTAGCCAATAGACACTCACTCATTTGCAAAATAATTTGGTTCTCTAGAGAGACTCACCTAGAACCCAGCTGAATCTCTCGTTTCTTCATGATGTTCTCAGACAAGTGAGTGTGCTGCATGCACCAGACCGCCTCATGTTTCNGGGGACTGCGCCTACCTGATGAGCCCGAACTGGAAGGGCGAAACCGGTCGTGGGCTGTCGATGGATTTTCAGCAACCTTATGAGTGGTACATTACAAATATATACCTAAAGGTTATTTAGATGCGTTACAGAATGTTTACATTTGTCAAGGGTTACGCTACTTTCGTTATTCAAGTAATTAAGTGTCAAAATGACACGCTGTTTACTCTGTGAGTGTTCACACTGAATCTAAGTGTGAAATAATTACGACTAATGGGAGGCTATAAGGGATTATGCAGAACCTTTTTTGAGCAAAACTGAGAAAAGTTGTTAGTTTAGCAGGTAGGATATGTGTTTATTATGAACGTACAACGAAAAGTGACATTTACAGCCTGCGGCTGTTTGCAACATTATGGAACCAAAATTTTGCATAATCTACGTTTATTCTCCAGATTAATCTAAAAGTGAATCCCAACAGCAGTTTCGGCAGGTAGTAAATAAACCTTCACCATCGGTACACATCGAACAGTGTAGTCTGATTTTTTTTGCAAAAAAAATAATGGGAGGGGAAACGTCACCGGATCCACTGTCCCTAACAAAAATTTGTCCTAAGTTATATGACTGGGTTTGAAGGTAAAAAGAACCAATTCTTCAGAAAACTACAGGTCCAAGTGATGAAACGTTTCGTTTACTATAATATAAAAATAACATTGTGGATTTCCATTACAGAATTAGCATCCACTCTATTCCTAGAAGACATCAAAGGACACTACCATTGAGATTTTGTGAACCCAATCCGTCAAAATTCAACAGCAAAACCGAGAGAATAGCGAAGAAAATTGCCAGTGGTGTACAGTTCGCACTACAAATACTACTTGATTTGTTATGGGAAAATTTTCCTCCAGAATAACCCAAAATATGGATGTAAGTACATTGCCAATATTTACTGTACCAGCAAATTAGCGATATGCTCCCAGATTAGTACGAAATGAAGATTCTGTATTCCAAACTGCAACTATTTTCGACCATTTCCATCTGCGCCAGAATAAATTCTTTGCATACGCAATATGCGCTTTACGGATGTAACGAAATTTATATCAAGTTCCTATGGATGGTAAAAAGCTACAGATGTATGAAATACAAATGGTGGAACTTCATCCGCGGTCACTGTAATAAAGTGTAGCCTTTATTCGTAATCCAATACAGACGCAAATTATTAGTTTTCTGAACTTGAAAAAATGTTTGTCGCGTAAAAATCGGTGATACCGAGTGGACACCGCGAATCTGAGGAAACATACCGCTGGGTGAGCACAAGCTTTGTGACAGTAATCTGAATCTCCAGCCTTGACTTCAAAACAGAACTTGGTTACTCTTTGTAGTCCCTCCTTTAAGGTATACGTTACGAAAAGGCGTCGCTTTGGCCGCATTTCGTTTACAAAGAAGCCCAGGTTGAAAAACATTTAGCGCAAATTGTGATAACTAGAACGTAGTCCCTTAGAATTTACCTGTTTATGCTTGCTCTTTGCAAAAACTGAGTTCCCCCAAATTTTAACAAGGGGGCGGAACTTCTAGGAGAACAACCGTTTCTAGTAACACATGCCTTTGTGAAAACCAAATTATATTTGAATAGACATACAAGCCTGCTTGTCAAGGTTGTCTTGTGCACATTTGGCTAAGCTCGAGATTTACACCCATTCTACTGGAGGTATGAATATACTTTAGTAGTCATCTTTCCGGTTGAAAAAAGTAATCAATGTTATTCGGTTCCCGTAAGTCTGCAGAAAATGTGTGGTATGTCTAACTTGCTGAGAGGACGCACTATTGTTTTTTCCTCGTGTATTGAGCCGAAATCAAGCACATCTTGATCCAATCTCTATTAATCAACCTCTATAGGCCCTCTCCAAGCGCAGCCTCTGGGTCAGAATTCACTGTGAGCGTTGTCGACCAAGAGGGAATAATTTACAGTTTTTAAGGACATTCCGATGCTAACCGGTCATTGTAATTGCCCATTATCCGCACAATGCTCACTGCTGCGAAGCCTTTACAAGTGAAGTATAACTTTCTGCGCCAAAATATTGCATTTTGTTGCATATGTGCTCAAACCGAAAACCGTCTTAATCTACGTTCATACTTTTGCAGCTCACCACATTTCATTGTTCACTGATGCAACCATGCCTCTTGCTGAAGAGTCTTGTGGGGTAATTTCCCAGCATTGCTGAGAGCCCGAAATACCTAAATGGGGCTTAAAAGTATAGAATCGTATTCTCAACTCAATTGCTTGATTTCCTTAGGCCATCAGGGACACGTCAAAACTTTCTAAAATTCCATTCCATTGTGTGAATACTGAGCACCGCCATTGTACGTGCCAACTGGTTTGGTTCAAAAAAATTTTTTTGGATTTTCACCAGTCATTCTGTAGACTGCATGTACTTGTTTTTTTAATCTTACCCATTCTAATTTTCAATCTTTTCACTGTTAGGCAGGTAAGTATCATGTCGGCTAGCTTCTTTTGGTCGTCTGGGATGTTACTCGGAGTAACAAGCGTCGGAAATGTGTGAAATTGGGCTCGAAAACTTTGACGATATGGAAAAACAGAGTCTAGGTGAAAAAATGGCTGAAACGTATAAAATAAACCAGTGTTAGAATTGATTCTGACGTTGGAAAACTTTTCAAGTACAAAATCTTAATTTTAACTCAAGATTTTGATGTATGCTGTATAGTTTCATTCAGCTTGTGCTCTTACATTTTTCAAACGAATGCAATCCATTCGGTCACTCTGATTGCAAGTGGCTTGGTATCAATTAGTGCATTTGGTTACACAAAGTTTTAAAACGTTTTCATTCATAAACCAACTACCGAGTCTGTGAGGGTCAGCGTTAACATAAGGCTTCAAGTATCCCATTAGGGATTCATGTCTGCATTTTCAAGACCCAAGTCTTCGATATAACAGACAAGGCTTGCTAGGACACTTGAAGCAATCGCACCTTGTCATTAGTTTATAAATATCTTTTAGTGCTATTGTGTGAACCACCTACGCGTCATGAACCTTTTCCTTGTCACTGCGTTTCAGGAAACAAAATAATTTTGTCGCTGGTCTTCGGGGTGTGTGAAAGTTTCCCCCTGATAAGTGTTGAAGACGGGAAATGACCTAAAAATGGTGAAAATAAAATGAAAAAGAGAAAGATTCATTAAATCAACGAACGTATGATTTCTGTAGGATTATAAAGCTGAGTTTATGCTCTTTATGAATTTCATATAGGGTAAATAAAATGTGATCCCTAACTGGCTGACAAAGTGCAGCACTTCTGTTGTGCCTAGTACGTTTGAAGCACACAATCGTTTGCTGTGGGACGAATTTTCTTGTTACTTGCTCGCAACTATTTACGTGTTTCCGGTATGGTTTCTCTCAACTCTTTTTTACAAGCTTCGAAAATTTGATGAAGTGTGAATTCTAACAAATTCCACTCAAATATTTTAGCTACGCGCAAGCGTCCCATTTCTTTAATTACCATACCGCAAAGTAGAAACACGGGACCATAAGCAACTGGTTTGGTGAAGTAGTGAGCATGTGTCGTAATTCTTTTTATATTATATATATATATATATATTTATAGCCATTATCATCACTTTATCCGACGCCATAGTAATTAGTTCCTGTGTACTTGAAATTTTGCCGCACGTACTGATACCACACAGTTTTCCGATTCACTGTAAACACGCCGAATTATACACACAATTCTCTAATCTTTCTCCCAGAGGTTCAGTCGATGAGCTCCGTTTTATCTCAATCAAAGTGTGTCATACATGAGTACTACGAATGCTGACGATACACCCTGTCAGTCTTTTCAAGCGTACTTTTGGAAAGTGTCACTTACTTTCAAGATTGATATCAGGTCACTCGACATAATATGGAAGGGAAAACCTCTATCGGTTACTCAGTACTGAGTGGTCCTCAGTTTTGGCCAGTTAGCTTAGCAGCATGAGTGAAGTAAATTCAGCGCGATTGACGAAACTGTTTTATGTTTAATATTATGGGGAGACATTTTAGCCAGTTGGAGGCAGTGGTCTCCACATTTTACGACCGGTGCGTTGAGTATACACACACTTCAAATTTCTCCACCTATCCTATCATTTAACTACATTATCAAGCTGCGTAAAGGCGTCCTGGAATCAAACGTCTGGCAAAAGTAACTGAAAGTGTAGCAATATAACAACAATATGTAGCGTTCTTGGTCATTTCTAAGCGTTTAAAATGTGGTCGGTTTTGGAGTCACCATAGTGACTTTACAGATCCATTAATTCACTGCAGTAGTCTACAAAATTTCACGAAGTGCCACTGTAATCAGAGACTCCTACTTAGACTTAAGGTTAAGTTGTTAACTGAGTTTATCACGAATGGCAGTACGGCGGTAATCACTTCTAAAAGCATCAAATTATTAGAGCTTTCGAAATGTGGTTCTAAAATCACCTCTTGGAAGTCATTTTTTGTTCACTTAGTCTTGTATTCCGCTGTAGTACTCTCATACTGTTGTTCGTGTGCAAAATCCGAAGTTTTCGAAGTACAAAACACAACAGGCGGTCCAAAACAGTAGTATGCCGGTAATTCATTTTCCTACCTCTGATCGATCCTCTTTTGTGTAACACATTCCAGTGGTGAAACACTCGAAAACATATCCTGGCTTGGAGACAAACTCGATATTTGACTAATCAATAGAGGCCTGTGTGAAGTGACCGGCGCTGATTGTAGGCCCACACGAGTACGTTGCGTCATAAATCACGTAGTAAGCACTGGTATCGAATAAAATGCCCATATATCCTGCGTCTTCAGGGGTTGTGGTAAGGTTAAGCTTACTGTTTCCATCTGTTGCTTAAGCTCTAACAGGTTTTCACAGAAAAGTTGGGTTCAGACCTGAAGAAGAACGGTCTGACCGATGTTACGATGTGTGTTTCACTCCAAGTCAGGTCATTTCTACTTAGTCATGTCAATGAAATATGGCTACATGACGCATAGGGATGTATCTGAACACGCTGAACGTACCCTGTACCAGAAGTTTATTGAATTGCTATCCATGAGGAATGCTGCCAAAATCCGGAAGTAGTATCTTCAGTTGAAGTGTTTACTTTCAGAAAAATTAGCAATATGTTGACCTTATTTGAGCCGCTTTATTGTCGCCCAGACCTTGTTTATTCATGTGATTTCAGCAAAAACACTCCAGTCTTTTCCCCAGGCACTTAATGTGTGAACACGGTGATTCTGACCGACGAATAGTCTGCAGGTGTGTGAAGAATTTGGACCCACGAATTTTGTCACCTTGTGGATAGACAGAATAATGACACTAAACTCAAAAACCCTTTTCTAGCAAAAAAATAGTGAAAACAAAACCCACACATGAGTTATCCTATTATGGGGACCTGTGCGCTCTCGACAGTCAGCTTCTAACGACAAATAAATGTCTACCATTAAGGGAGCAGTTACAGAACAGCAAATGCAATTCACGGGATAGAGGAGGGGTTTTCAGAGAATATTTCTTCCCTTACCCTTTGGTTATCTCATATTTATCAACTGTACATCAAATTTCCGTTGACCATACTAGTAAGTGAGGTGTTACGGCATTACTCCAACAGAAAACCACACCACACCAGTTGGCACTATATATGCCCTCATTGTAGAGTCGCAGGTGTTAAAGAAGAGCAACATTGAACTTGAGACTTTCGTCACTTTCTGGAAGAAAACTACAAAAATTTATTTATTAAACCAGATCAACCACCTTTAAAGCCAAGTTTGTAGTGCGGTTATAGACATGTGTGATATTAAATGTGTGAACTACGTGAGGTTCGTTATCTCATCAGTACAGGAAAAAATAACAGGGATATTTATTTATCATAAGACTGTATACTTGAACTCAACTACAAACCCTTTTATGTGGAGACACCATTGGTCTTTTAGACAAAATGACTGGCAAAATGATGAAAAGGTCAGTAATGAAAGGTAGCTAGATGCTGAAGGTTCCTCTTGTAGGAGAGGAGAATGCGCACAGTATTGTCAGGCGCTTCATTCCTGCAAGTGACCTTTGAAGGTGGACTTCTACCAGATAGTGGATAACAGAAAAAATCTCCTGAGATTATGAGAGAATGTGTATTTTGAGTTCCAAACGACAAGTTCAGTCCCTGTTAACCTGAGCACACATTTTCCTTCGATAATGATCGACTTTACTTCCACATTCATTGTCATTCCATTGTTACAACCAAATAAAAGCAACTAGCAATTTGTCCTGGTAACACAGTATGCGTTACGCAGTTTTGTGGTTGAAGACTCAATCCAGCCTACGCTAGTATCAAACTCAGTTGTGTATGCAGCCTCCTTTCAACTGAGAATTTCTGACCTAGACAAACGAAGTTATAGAGCAAGTTGAAGCAAAGGCTGTGGACGCTGATCACAATGAAGCTTCAGAATGTACAAGAATTATAACATACTATTCGGGTAGGTAAACGTGACTCATATCGGGAATGCACGCTGCAACAGTATGGAAATACACAGAAACCCTAGTTGGACTATTGCGTTTTCTGTGTACGTCCGTCGAGGTTATGCTATGAGTATTCATATTTGGATGCACCATAAGAGGATGCTTTTCTGGGGTGTTGCTATCCGGTAGAATACTATGTTTGTCTGCAGCCAACAAGTACATACCAACCGTTCCTGAAGGATGATAGTGTGTTGTCAGCACTGAGACATTGTGATTACTGCCCTATAGTGTACTAAGAGTACACCGATTGAACACATACCAGACTGCGCATTTTTAAAAACCCACCGCGTTCCGTTCACTGATCGAACTTGAAGTTATTCCTGATAACTGATTTGTACAGCAGCTAGTGGTCCTCGATCTCACCAAAACACAAGCCTAAGTACACTTTTATAGGGAGAATATGAATATTCAACTACATAACTAGAAAAACCAGAAGTGATGCGTTTGCAAAAATAAACGCAATAACATAAAAGTGGCATTAAAATCAACCAATGAGGACTAAAATACGAGGATTTTGTTCGCAGTGGAGTAGACTGTTCAAGACAAATTCACAAAAAATGTAGTTGAGTTTACAGCATGAACAAAAGCATTCTGTAGGCAGGTGATCTTTAACTAGATCTCACGTGATGCGATGGCCACTCCACAGATTGGACACCTACAAGTGAGTCTTCGCGACGGTTAGCCGTCTCATCTTTTTGGATTACATCCGTTCTTCAACTTAAAGTGTGAGGAGATTGACTGATCACTTGAAGATATAAAGCTGGTCCCTCTGGCTTCAGATCCGAAAGTAGAGAGCATATTATCTTCGGGTTATATTTGGGCAAACGTCAGTATCATTTTGCATACTAGTTCACCTATATAATGACTGTTAAAAGGTAAACAACAATAAAATCAAACATGCGTCGGAATAAGTCGACTCAGCAACGCTCCTATTGAACAATGTTTTTACTATAAATTCTGAAGGTAAATAAAGTCTGTCACGGTCTCGCTTCCATTAACATTAGCATTTTCAGGTTTCAAGCCTACTTCCATGGTCAGTTTTAAATACGCTACAATTCAGCTGAAGGAAGCGAACCAGGGTTCAGTCACCCACAGTAATCAGGATAAAAAAGTAGGCCTCACATTCTATTGTAACCTTATTGAGTATTAATAGCGTTTTGTCGCTCTACTAGGATAAAAATTTACGAAAGTTTTCAATATGTCAAAGGGCACGTGATGTCCACTAGGTGTGAAGTTATTTATCTTTGAATTTTTTTCCTTAGAAGGTAACACAGTCGGGGATAACTGCCACACTGCTTGTCAACAGTCAGAAGGCAACACTGGATGCAGACGATGCCAATACTAGTACTCTGACCGAAAACTGTCACTCTATTTTAAAGTGGAGGTATTATTATGGTGAATAAATTGAGATTTCCATCATTTATGCACTCAACATTCATCTCACCCTTTGGGGTTTTCAGGCCACTCTGACAGATGGGGAATATTCCAGACTGTTTAGTTGGACGAGGTACAAGAAAGCATGTCCCACATGTTTGATGTCACAAATCCACTATTGTTTTTCGAATGTCCAAATGAAGGAAAACCGTATGGAAAGTGCCCCGTCGCTATTGCCTGGCCTGGCGCCCTCTCACAAATTCCGAGCAACAGCAGAAGTCCTTGCAGTTCTGCGAAAAATTCACTCAGCGGGCGGTATCCGTTTTCTCGGTTTTACGAAAAATATACCCCTTTCGGATGATAGAAGCAGAAGTCAGTCGAACCGGGCAGTCAAACACCCGGCCACTCACATGCACAGAATTATAAGGTACTGGTGGCTATTGCTGGCAACACCGACCAACCATGCGGCCAGATTTGCACTCTAATGTACATTCGATCAACCAAACCCATAAGGAGATGACGAACACCAAGAATTTCCCCTACTCTACCCCGATTTGTATACACAGCAACTAGCCCAGTCAAATAAACGAACGCTAAGCACATCGGACCACGCGAACACATGCACAAACATGATGCGCCAGTGCATCCTCCTCCACCTGCATTCCCCTTATTGGCGGTGTTACCTTCATGCCAGATCTGCGCTGCCAATACCCACATCTTGTCACCTGCTTGATAGTTATCTGCTCCATGTATCGACTAGAGTGAACAGTTTACACAAAAGTGTGAAAGAATGCACCTTCGGAAGTGCCCGAAGCTGTCCGTCATTCATAAGTTTGGTTGGTTCCAGTAAACATATAACTAATTCACACCTCCAGGATGGTAGTCCAGCACTGCCATTAGGTGTGACAAACTTGTAGAAAGAGCGGGTGTTATTCAGGATCTAGTACAGCTGTTCGAAAAATTTCGTTAGGGTAATGACAATTTCAAAATTCCGAGGAGTGAATCTACTTTTCTGGAACCGATTTGATTAAGCGGCGAATCAAACCAGAAACAATTTCACTGACGTATAGTTGCTTTGTGGTTGAACCAAACTGAACATGTACAAAATTCTCCATCACACGTGACTAAGTGTGTAAACATTTAATGTAGTGGGATCAGTGGGAAACGCGGTTCAAGAAACCTTTGCCGATACATGGTCACGATTCACTCCTCATATTTGAAGCATATTTCAATTTGCAATGCGGTGATTACTTAACTCGTTAGTGATGGAGTTTCCAATCTCAGAATGCGTCTAAATTCTTATCCTTGTCACCATCAGTTGTGCGGTTTTTGGGAGTTTCGGTTAGACGTGATACCATAGTGAGTATAAAAAGATCACACCATTTGTCCAGTGTCAAAGCGATTTTTTTCCTGTCCACTCTCAGTCAAAGCCATCAAAAAAGCGCTGTGTCGAGTTTATGCTAAAACCAGTCAAACACTTTAGATCAGCCCACCGCTGTTACAGGCGTTAGTCGTAGTGAACGTTTGAAAAGTTCTTTAAGGTTATCCATTCGGCAACCAGGAGTATGTAGGGCGACATACAGTGTATACGCATCGTACAAGTGAACTAAGTCTCACACTTGCCTATATGCTGGGAGACCAAATTTCACGCGTCACGTATATTGAACTAAGCATAAATTAAAAGAAATACGTTTGGCAGTGTGAGTCCTCCTGAGTGGAAACTATCATAGCCTCATGCATACGCAGGTTCAGGTTGAATACGGAGGAAATTTTCAGTATCGTCTGTGCTGGTCTACCTGATATTATCAAAAAGATAAAATGACCGCCAGCAGATTTTCCAAATTAATTTCCACTGGGGGGTGCCAATTGTTGTTCAAACAAAGCTCTTCAGGGCATAATTCCAAAATAATTCTGACGATACTCGACAGATAGGCAGTCAACCGCAAACAGTTGCCAACGCAAACAGTTCCTCTCACCCTTCCCCAAAACAATAGCTTCCAGAAGTAGTATGGAGGCATTTTTAAAAGACAACAACGGGACCCATTTCCTTTGTTTGAAACGACTTAGGTAATAAACGTTGGACTAAGATGTCTAGTGATGCAGCGACCTTTATCCTTTAGGTGTGAGCAACGTTTATGCGACTGTTAACAGAAAATTCGATCCTATTTTGTCCTTCCAATAATTTTATTTCAAAGACAGAGCGGTAAGGATTGCGGAGCTCTCAATCGCATCAACATATTTCAATTGTAAATGCTATTCAGATGGAGTCTTCCTGATTTTCAATAAGGAATTACACCTTCTATTTTATTGACATTACGTCAGCTCATTTTATCGTGGGATCTTCCTAACAAGGTATCAGTATTTACAGTGAAGGTTGCCCTTCCATGTGCTCTTTTCTATTACTAGAATACAGAAACTTAGATGTAAGAATGTTTACTTTTGTGTATCACAGATTGTGGAATCAGACGGATAACGATGGCCTTTAGATATGTCACCAAGAGTGTCTAGATCCAGAAGCCCTTCGGTCTTTTGAAATGTTTTCCGAAAATGAGAGGGTCTGATATCTCAGCAAGTAAAGCCTAGGGCGGGAAATGACAAACTAGAGGGAGAACAAAAAATAACAAAATCAAACTATAGTAGTGTGAATTCCTTAATCAAACAATGTTAAGGTAGGACAGATTCACTCGAAGTTCCCAAGCTAAAGAGAAATGTAGTATACTGCTTAGATTTGTTGACGTGGATAGGTGTTCCGCATCACTGGTAGCGGTAGCCCTGGATTTTCTACTCCATCCACTTCTGAGACAGATATCCTGTACTGGGATGCCCCTCAAAATTTATACAACTTACTGACCTACGCACAGATGAGTGTATTTCTCGAAAAGAGTCCAATTTGGGTTCACGTGGAACATAAGACTAACGGAAACTCGAGGACTGCGCCCACCTGGTGAGCCCCAAGAAGGGCGAAACCAGTCTTGGGCTGTCGGAGGGTTTTCAGCAAACATTGAGTAGTTTCTTTTACGTACAGATTTAGTTCGGTCATCACATTTTAAAAATTTTGTCTTTGGGGAGATTCTTTTTGTAAATAGTATAGGGATACTCGAGAAAAACACTCGACAACATTTCCGTTTTAAGTGGAGACCCAGATTAATTTCGGCGTAATATGTCGTGTATGACATTCTCGGATCTAAATTGATGTGTAACTGGGTGTAGCTTGCAAATTTCATACAGTTTGGGTTTGAAGTGAACATGAGTGCGACGGAAACTTGACGAGTGCGCCCACTAGTTGAGGACTAAAAGTGCGAAAATGGTCGTGGGCTATCGGAAAATTTTCAACACCCTTTTCAGTAATGTTATACGAAGTCTGGGCCGCTTGCACTAGCCTTATGCCTTTATTTGGTACTAGGTGATTGCATGTGAAATTCACGTCCATCTTTATTTGAACAGTCCTCTTCCTTTCCTGGAGCAATTATTCTCGAGGTTGCATACCAAATGAGGGAAGCGCTGGACTCAAGTTTTGCTCTTATTAGAGCTAATCAGCAATGAATATCCAGGGTTTGAACTCCGGACATCTGAGGCGAACGTGCTTCCATCACTGTACCAGCGCAGCTGAATGCATCTGATTTATCACGTGTGGCGAGTCGGACGCGTTAACGTTTGAGCGACGTGATTGGCTTGCCCGACTGCTTGAGTGACGAACACGTAAGCGTCCTGATTCTGTCGATCGATTGGCCCGACTGTCAGGTCTTCCAGGTCGGCAAGCCCCAGGGCGCTTGAATCCTGCTGGGGCACTTTATTTAGTTAGAGATGAGGTAATATAAACACTTGAATGCACTTTAGTTAATCCGTTCGTGCTCCAGATAGAAATTCGGGCTCGAAGCGTGGTCGGAACAGTTTTCACTCACTTCAGACATTTAGCGCGATGTGCCCCTAAAACATCGGAAAGGTTTTTTTTAAGGTTTCTCGCTTCTATGTGCACGCCAGTTCGCGAAATTCCAATGGCACAGTTAAGAGTGTCAACGAATGAAACTCAGACGACTGTCAGTGTTCGTACATTCAACCCAACTGGATATGACATCCTTTGATAGAACAAGATCCTATTTCAGGCTACCCATTGTTCAGCTGGCCTGTAATCATTTAAGATGAAATCAAGTAGTATACAGTCACAAGTTTTAAAATTCATAAAACATGAACAATACTGATAGTTTTTACTGGCTACAGGATGAATGAAACCATCTCATGACGTAGGATTTGGCATGTTAGGGTTCTTTGCTAACTTTGCTAGTAAACTGAACGTACTTTTAAACCTAAAACTCCAAGTGAATGTCAAGGAACCTCGTCCCTGTATATCCGATCAGATTTAACAAACGACTGGCCTCTCTCAAGCCAAGAACGCAAAATCGCAACTGGTGGCCACTGTTGTCTCTCAGGAGTAACTTTTGGCTTAGCATGGATCCGTGGACTATTATGGTCACCACCTAATATTGTTCAGTTTGTCCTCTACCAGAAAATAACCTTACATAGATCAAGTTGGTCATTTCCATCTCTATGATACAATAACTCTAAAAACTTGTCCACCAATGGGGCGTTCACAATAAGCAAAATTTTACAGCGGTGTTCCCCGTCAACCACAAACCAGTATGGAGCCTTTCCAGAAGGCAACTCATTCAATGGGATGAACTTTCTGTTTACTTTGGGACAGTCGTCCTTGGGACAGAAATTTCGACGTGAATAATAAACATTAAGTCAGTTAAACAAATGTAAACTGATTCGCCATGTCTATGTGCACAAAATTGCCCTTTGAACCCCTTTAGAACACGAGACAGTTAAACTCTGTGCCGTAATCATCCTTGCCGTTAATCCAGTTTTTCGAAATTCCATCTACATTAGTGACTTCGCTTTAAAGTCACGAGCAGACAGATTAGACCTCCTTTCTGGGCATGGACGAATGGTGATCCTGTAAGTAATCGTTTTTTGTGTCCAGCACAGGTAGCAGTTCATTTCAATTTATACTTCCTTGGGTA